TCCTACTTATGTGACTAGAAGAGAAGGAAGACCAGAAAACCAAGAACATCTCTCCTTTCCTTTCAATCATTTCCCTAGCTAAAGTAATCTGCTCTTTCTCCTGGAGCCAATCTGAGAAGCTTGTATAGGTTCTTTTTTGATAATTTCAGATTTTAAAAAATGGATATGATAAACTAGAGAACATTCTCCCATTTGGCATTCACCATAAGAATACCCTGTTGATAGGCCTGGGGCCCTGAGGCACCCTGAGAAACTCAAGTGGTGTTGGCAGGTACAGCTTAGCAGTCATTTCAACGAGCAACATGCTTATTATTGGAAAATTGCCCAGTTGCCCAAATGTGCATGCATTTTAAAAGATGTTGTCATTTGTTCCTCGTAGGGGTTTGGAAATTCTCAAGGGCATCATGGGCTTAGACACTTTGTGAATGCTCTAACAGCCAAGAGATCAAGACTGCTGAAAACTGATGCTCTACACCAATGGCGTCAAACTGAAACAGAAACAGGGGCTGCTAACCATAAAATTGATTAATTAACTGTAGAAAGAATCCCTGCAGGCTGTATACTGACTTTAAAAAAAGCACATGTTTATATATCTATTTTTTTAATCAATACATCAACACATTAAAATCAGATAGGAACTAGATATAACTAATACATTAAAAAGCAATATATTACTATGAATGTAACTGTTTTTAATATTTATGCATATTTATATATTTTTGTGAGTATACAGTACACACACACACACACACACACAATATATATATTTGTATATATATCCACCATCCCACTCTGAGCTTCTTCCCAGCCTACCACCAAATTATCACACAAATCACCTCCTCACCTCCTACTCCCATTATCACCTCCCTGCAATGTTCCCTCTAATGTCTGATGTTCCATGTGTAGAAAAAAAAGTGTTTTGTGCAGCTTTTCCCAAACCAAATACAAATGTGTGTGCCACAATATGAGAATATGAGCAAATTGCAAATACAAGTAATAGTGACATGTTAAAATATTTATGTATTTCTTAAAGTATAGAAACTAAAAAGAGTAATAGTATATCACCTACACGCTTGAAAGTTGTGCCTTCAAGTCATTTTGGACTCCTGGCAACTGCCCCCTGCACTTTTCTTGGCAGCATTTTTCAGAAGTGATTTGGCAGTTCTTTCTTCCTGGGGGTGAGAGATGTAACTGGTCCAAGATCACTCAGCTGGCTTTGTGCCCAAGACAGGACTAGAAGTCACTGTCTCTTTGTTTCTACTCTAATGCCTTAACCACTACACCAAACTGGCTGCACACATACATGCTTACAGATTATGATCCTCTAGCCACTGATAACTGCAATCAATATTTAGCATCTTTCCCTCCCTCCCTCCTTGGAATTTGTTATTGTAATGACAGAAGAATTTAAAAAAAAAGAAAGAAAAGCATTTAGATCACCCTCTCTTTTTCATTTTTTCCCAATTCTTTCCTTCTTCACTGGATGTATTCTGAACTTATTTAAACTTTAATTACTACTAATTTAAAAATGGATTTTTTTTACAAAGTTAACAACAATCATATACCTTGTGAAGTCAAAAAACCCAAGAGTTATTAATTCAACCTGTTTTGTAGAGAGGAGGAAAAGAATTTAACCTTTTTTGAAGGAAGGAGAGAAACTAATTCAACCTGTTTTGGAGGGAGGTGTTCCTTCGTGAGCTGGAGACTCTGGGGTCCAGAACAGGTCGGCTACCAATGCAAGGCCGCCTGCCTGCTGTCCGGGAAAAGGCATGAGTTCTCTGCCTCAGCTTAACTGCAGCAACAAGGCGTGTGGCGCTGCTGCAGCGCAGACTAAGAGGGAACTTCTGTCATGTGATGCTCCTGCTCAGTCTGTACCACAGCAGCACCAAGCAATCCTCACTGCTGCATTTAAGCTGAGGCGGTGAACTTGTGCGGGACTCCACACAAGTCGTGAGCCTGGAGTTTTATGGGGGTTGGGGATTAAATTTATTATTATTTAGTTTTAAAATGTATTATCTGTGTTTTATTGTATTTTTATTTTATTTTGTTCAATATTTCCCGATTACATTTTAATCTGGTTCAGGCCGCGTTCAGGAGCTTTTGCTATAGTCATAACTAGATACTTTTCCAGTTCAGAAAACTGCAATAATCCCATGTGTATTTGTCAAATTAAAAATTGAAATGTTTTTGGAAGGGCAGATGAATATCCACATGCAATAAGCTGTGGAAAGACAGCAATAGATTTAATTAAATAGCATGCTATACTTTTTACTTCTAACTCAAAAAGATACAATCTTTTCAGAAAATGAGATTGCTAGTAGCAATCTTTAATCTTTGATTGGAAGCAATAGCTACACCATACTGAACAGAGTAGCATTCGCCTCTGGAATTTTCTCATTTTTCTCCACCCTACGTCCAGGGCACTGAGCATTGCAGGGGGTCACTTTCTACCACATCTACCATCATCAACCATCTCCTGTTCCAAATAATAACTTATGGAAATGTACATATCAGCCATGTTGAAACTGACCCATTCAAAGGGAAAATAAGAATGCTCTGGACTTAACCATTATGTTTTGCACATGACTACCAGGTAGCTTGATACTCTTTATTTGCACTAAAAAACAAGCAAAACAAAACAAACCCCTTAAAGCTCTATGCCATTTCTCTTGTTAATAAGCCTGTCGTTTCAGATCATTACTTGCTCATAAGATAGCACAATTCAATAGCCACAAGAAAGGGGAAACCTTTAAAACCACTCTCATAGTTCAGGATGGAAAGCACCTCTGTTTATTTATTTACTGACAACATTTATATATAACACTCAATGATCAAGATTCTAATGAGGTACTCACACACTGGAAATAATTATCGCTTCTTGGTTTTTTGGCTAGGATCAAGTGTCATAGTGATAATTAAAGTATAACCTATTTGTTGCATATAAGAATGTGACCCATTCTAGTAAAGAATTTCTAAATCATATTGGACCAAAACAAATGATAACTTGGGTGTAGAGGGAAGAGAATATTGTTTTTCTGACAGAAGTATCAATTACAAACTGTTCTAGTCTATTTAGAAAATAATAAATTATATATCTAGCAGCCTATATTGACATTTTATTGGATATTTGGGGTGTGTCAGAATATGAAAAGGCTTCAAAGCATAGTTTTCTGAAGTTGTGAAAATTCAGACAAAAGTTCTTGTGTAGGAGTAGAACAACGTGCTATGCTAGAAGACTTGAATTCCTAATTATGATTTATCTGTCCATCCTATTTTAAGAATCATTGCACTTCTTGTAAGATTCCAGAAACAGGGAGTATATTATGAGACATAGCACAACTTGCTCAATTAATCTTTTGAACACAGAAATCATTTTAAGTGGTGTGGAACACTACTTCTTTCCCTCTGAGAAGCTGCCATGAACAGACTCCTTTGCAACTGGAAGGAGGTTGGTGGTACCTTTTGAAAATCTTACAGAAAGATTACAAGAGATTAAATCAAGTGGGAAAAGCAACAACAGGTACCTTGATGCCAATGGGCTAAGAAAAAAAAAGAGAGAGAGGCACAGATCTCTTTTTAATGAATACAGCTTACTTGGTCTTAAAACAAATTACATTTTTTAGCTCTCCAAGAGTTGAGATGAACTCCAGCTTTCTATTTTCTCTCCTAAAAATTACAAGACATCGATTGTATCCAACTAAATGTAATCTAAAATAGGCTTCCTTTCTAACTCTATACATGTTTTTTATAGGATGGATTCCTGTTCCACCGCAGTCCGACAAATGCATCAATTCTTTTTTAATAGTATTAACCAGTATCCCAAATAGTACTGTAAATCAAACATGATGCTGGCAGAAACACTGAAGTCTACAAATATACTTGAAACTCTTAAAATAAATTTATATAGTTCTGCTCCTTTTTTGAGCATGTTTAGTCAAGTGACATTTTAACCTCTTGTTCAATCTTGTTTATAGAAACTCTTAGCATGTACAGTATTTTAGAATTATCAAGGAGTACAATAATTCCATGAAATAGTTTCAAGTTATGGATGTGCAAAACTTTCAGTGAATGAATTGTTCTGTATATGGGACAGCCAGTCACAGGTGACCCATGTCCAGAATGAAATGTGCTTCATCTGGACATAGATCCAAAACACATGTGTGATGGAGAAGTGATGGAGGGGGGGGCAGGAAAATAGTGGTGAGAAAGGAAAGCACCAGGAAGATTGGAGAGCGGTTGATTTGCTGGGTGCATGTGTCATATGAAGCCAAGGGCAGCTTCTAACAGAAGGTAGGAAAACAAGGTGCTAGGAAGATATGGGGAAGGTTGGGTGGACTGGTTGGATATATCATACCTGAAGCCAAGTGTAGCATCATCTGTGATTAAAGGGAAGTAGAGGAAGGAAGAAGCTAGGAAGATGGGGGGAAGGAGCAGGCAGGCTAGCTGGATATGATGCACTTGAAGGCAAGAGTATCAATGATGGCAGCTAAGAGGTTGTAGGGAAAAGAAAGTGATGGGAAGATTGGCAGGCAGTTTGGTACAGAGAAGGAAGAAACAGAAGGATGAGATACACCGGCCTTACCCTACGCATTTGTAAAACATCTCCAGATTATGTTTCAGCCAACAGCCAAAACAACCAAAATGTTCCTGGTTTCACTTCTGCCAAACTTAGAACAGTTTGGACAAACTTCCAAGCCATAACCCGTTTGTTTCAAGTTTGATGTAAAACCAATTTTCCATTTTGTGCACACCTAAAATTCAAGTTAATATTACCCAGAAAACTTCAAAGTTTGTTACTGTCTGCTACAGCGTATGGTGATGACCACATAAGACTTTAAAGTGAGATAAAAAAAACAGGGAAACTAAGCAAAAATGTTATCCCAACTATGTAGCAAGTTACAAAAGTTCAAAACTACCCAAACATGAAGTCCCAATATATCTATCTAATGAGTTAAATTTATCTACAACAATTATTGTGATTGTTTTTTTAAAAAAAATACCTGTTCTTTTACAGAAGCTAGAATAGTAGTGGCAGTAGCCTCTGTTTCCATGGCAGGATTTGCAGAAGATTCCTGGGTGGTCTGTTGCAGCCCATCTTCCAAAGGGATCTGCTCAGGAGCCGGCATAGTGCCTGGTGGGGGGAAAAAATTAGTTTGATATCTGATGTTTATGGATTCAATTGACATGCTACCTTTGCTGTGCTAAAAATATTCCGTAACATTTCACAAATGTGAAGCAGTATGACATGAAAGAAAAGAACTTCATACTTTTCCGCCTTACAATAATGGCTAGAAAACAAAGTGACAGAAGAGTACCTGTGGTCCTTCGGCTGCAGCTTTCTTCTCATCTTGACCACTGAAAAGTAACAGCATAGTATCCTGCTATTGTGAGTTGGAAAACATATGAAAGCTGTAATATATGTCCTAAAATAGGCATGTAATAGATAAAAAAACAAGGAAAAAAATCAAACTCCCTCTCCTACAAACATGTATAATGTGACCCTACCCATTTTGAGGTTCTTGCCTGCTCCTCAAAATGCACCCTTTGGCCACCAAAAAGTTGTCAAATTCTGACTTACAAGAAAACAGTAGTCTATGTATATCTCTGTTTTAAAACAGATTAAGGTATCTTCAATACTCTATAGTCCTAGATCTAAGGAATTTACAGTAGAGTGTTTAAATTTAAATTTAAGTGTTTGCTGTAATTTTGCTGGATAGCTACCATATAACTGGTATAATTTTCACCAGATATACCCATATGTTAAAACATTAGACTTTTCACCCTTTGATAGCCTCAGGTAATCACAATGATTCAATTATGCTACCTGCTGCTTCTATCTGAACAAGTGGCATTACATTCCTTCGTATGCATGATCAGATAGGTGGTCTTCATACACACTTCCTACAGGGTGCTAGTACCTTCCTGCCTTAAAAAACAAAATGCCCATAATTTTCATTATGCATATAATTAATGCAACCACACCAAAAGAAAGAAGTTACAAGGAAGTAGACACAAATATGCAATGGGAGGGAATTTAAAATTATGTAGTTTCTTAATACTGCTTTTATTCATTTTTCTCTTTTTTCATTTTAAAAAATCTTTCTTTTTTCTTTCTCTTCTTTTCCTTTTAAATAATTATAAATAGTGGTGATATCAATATTAATATTATGTTTAGAGTTTTACAGAGATTTCTAGTTATTTCTTAAGAAATAACTTTGTTTTAACAAACTTTGTTCTATACATTTAATTAATTAACAAAACAATGAATTTCAAATTTTATGATCATTTCAAACTCTTTAAAAATAAATAAAAAATAAAAACACTAAAAAGAATTTTTAAAAAAGGGACATAGGATTGCTCTGAATTAAAAATAAGTTTTCAAATTGCTTTTTTCCATTTCTTAAGATTTATTAAGCAAGACATCAGAAATAGGAAGAGGAAAATGTCTATGCTTGCCTTAGATTGGAATGATTTTTCATATCTGCATTTTACTTGAGATATCAGTTTTGGTTGGCTGATCAATTTTCAATTGCTAGCAAGTGAATGTGTCCTGCAAGACACAAATTTTGTAAACATAGCTAATGCTGACACACCAACTCCACATATCCCACTAGCTTATCTCTGGCCTAAGACGACACTAGAATAAACTATTTCTATTTTAAAAGACTTCATTGCCTGAAGGAGTTCCTTGGATCAACCAAAAAGTCCATGTGGAAAGATCAACCAGAAGTCCATAAGCAAGATACAAGTTCCTTGTTTCCTAGCTACTGGTATCAAGAGATTTTTTTACTTCCAATTTTGGAAACAAGTGGTGATTTACATGCTTGCAAGATACTTTTAACTATCTCTCTTTAACATATCTTGCAAGCTATATAACCTCCAAATGTCAGAACTCCATCTATTTGGTATCATTTCCTTCGAAAAATATAGCATAGCTCTTTTCCACTTTTTCCAGCAAAGTTACATAGCTTGTAACAAGTCTAGATAAAATACACAATGTGTATTTGCAGCATTTCTGTTATATAAAATTATTAGCTTAAATGTAGTTAAGCTATCTACCTTTTAACTGGTAATGAGCTAATATTTTCAAAGAGCAAAGGATTCCCAAACTGACTTGAATGAGTTTAACAGTTAACAGAGCGAGGAACCAACAGCATACCATTATTAGAAACAACTAGCAAATCTGGCCTTCAGAAATAACTGATATCTTGAACTTGAAATATTGCTTTAAACTGGATTTTATTAATTTCCTTTACAACAGTTTTATTTCCATTTCAGTACTGAATCATCCGAACTTTTATTCAATATTATTCTTATAAATTCATTCAACAGTTCCATCCAAGTCTAACCTTTACTACCTCAGTGTTAGTGGGGGTGAGGGCCGAAGGACAAAGAAATGAGCAACAAAATTAAACTACCCCTCTATCTTCCAACCGCCATGTCACTTGCCAGGCTCAGGATATAAAAACTGGGGTGCTGGTTCACCTTAAGCAAATGTGATACTTAAAGGACAGAGGACAGATATGCTTGAATGAGATGGAGATTTTAAAAAGCCTTAGTTATTACAGGGTGAAGTAAAGAGCTGATTAGTTATCATAATATTTCATTCTGTAAACTCTACTGGTTGAATTAATAAAATAAGGGTTATCCTTATCGAAATTCTTAAAATTAGCAATTTTAACTACCTGAAACTTCAGTATGTTTTAATAATTCCTGCTCCCCAATGCAGAAATTCAGAGGAGTGGCAAGAGCTATCTGGTAATCAGTCTGTATTTTACAAATGGGCAAATATACCTGTGGGTAATTTCTTTGGCACCCCTTAGGCTCCTTTCTCAATTTTTAAAAATGTTCCATAAAACATTAAAAAAAAGTCTCTATCATAATTATTTTCAAGAATATCTTTTGGCCCCACACAGGCTACAAAGAGACTTCTTTAAAAATTCAAAAATCTAAGCAGAAATCTAGTACTTTATCTAGAAGTGTGCATCTGTCCAGAAAAAAGACAAATGAAGCCAGGGTATTACAGAACATCTTAGAGAGCATGTGGGGAACAGCCTCAACAGTTTGCCTTCTAGTAGATGGCTGCTTTGAAATGGACTATACTAGAATTTTTCCTAGTTTGAAATATCAGTAGCAAAACACAGGCTAACTAGAAACACACATAATTATTAAGGATTATTCTCTTTATATTATGAACGGTTTTACAGATTCTTCAGGAGGTATCTTTCAGCCACTCTGAAACCCCAACAGATGTGTGCACTAGAATTGTCTTTTTCAAATCCCAGTAAATTTTTATTGTTTCAACACATCCTTTTTATGCTTAAGTGTAAGCAGAGAGATATAGTACAACAACCTTTTCATTTCGGTAGTTAACCACAAAGAACACATTAAGTGCTCTTTGTTTATATGCAATTTACTCCCTGCTATACAAAGAATCTTTGTATATGTTTTTTTGCAAAGAATATTGTCATATTCAATATGTTTATACAATTCCATTCAATTTCATTTCACAAAGTAGGGAAAAATCAGGAACAAAAGCTTCTTTTTTCCTGTCCTCCTCACACCAATTATGACTCCTTATAATAGCACTCTATTAACCTTCTCCATAACTCACTCAGGCTTCTTGTATAGAACTTTTTAAAAAAAAAATGATAGATGCAAACAGTGGCTACATTCACACATGGCTCATTGTAATCATAATCTGTTGAACTTAGAAACAGGCCAGAGGCCTGCAAACAAATTATGGAATTTTTGGCCAATTTCTGATTTGTTCTTTTTCATTTTAAGCAGTTTTTTGCTTGCATCATGGTAAATAGGAATTACCAGAAAGTGCAAATAAGGATAGTTCTGTTGGCATATCATTCTAATGCCACAGTTACAATTAGAAAGCCAATGATACACTATGATTTCAAACGGCAGTTTATTGTTAAATAAATAATGGCTACCTCCCTTTATCTTAAGTTAAAAAAAAAAGGCTTAAAGCAATATGTGAATGTAGCCATTGCAATTTATCCACCATAGTTCATGTTTGAAAAATAATTAAAATAACTATTTTTATTTATTATTTTGTCCTCCAAAGGTTACAGATGTAGACCAACCAGAATTCTTTGCTTTGGGGGACTTGCAATGTGCCTGAAGTGAAAAAACTGAAGCATTAAATTTTGTATAGCATTAATATACCTATTTCACATCTTTAAAAAAATTAACAGAAAATATTGTGGATTGTCTGGGAAACACAAAATGGCAACTGGGGGACCTTCAGGCAGCAGGTTGCATATACCTTGTTTTAGATTTAGCAACTCAAGGCAGCTAATAGAGTACACATATTAAAAAAAAAAAAGAACATCCAGTAATTTAAAATAAACATTAATTTTAATATTAATTGACAATTAAAATTTGGTGAAAGAGATATCACTGAAAGCTAGATAAGAGAAATTTTTAAATGCTAAAAGACTAGAGGCCAAACACAACTGCAAAGGAGCATATTCCACAGGTAAGAGAGAGGCAGGAGAAAGCCACCTCCCCTGTGCCTGACAAGTGAGTCCCTGACAGCTGAGGCATCCTCAAAAGAGCCTCTCCTTCATATTTAAACACCCAGATAAAGGTCCTCCTTCAACTCAAGCTTGACTCCTGATGACTTCATGGATACAGCTTTCCTGGCAGCAATACAAAGGTGGTTTCCCACTGCCTTCATGTGGGATGTTTCTCACTTTCCCAGCCCAGCCTGCTGCTCTGGTATTCTCTCATTTAAATACTAACCCATCCTGAACCTGCCTTAGCTTCCAAGTCCAGACAAGGTTGCCCAAGTGCTACCTTCTTCTGAGACCTAGACAGGTTGGTAATGGGAGATGTTCTTCAAATAGTCAGATCCTAAGTGATTTAGAATGTTAAAGATGAATGCCAAGACCAAATATTGTACTGTATTCAATAAGCAATGTAACCAGTGCAGATTTCTCAGTACAGATATGATGTGATACCTGTATCGTGCATCAGTGAACAGCCAAGATTTGCGACTTCTGGACACATAACAAGACCACCCCCCAAAGAGAGCATTATAATAACTAAGAAAGATGTAGCCAAGGCACAGAGGCTGCTATACTACATGTAATTGCTATAGCTGTCATCTGTGAA